ACGCAGCCCTGCTACGGCAGAGGGGAGGGGGAAGAGGCAGGCACAGGCTTGTAAGGGTTGGTTCCTGGGAGGTTGGGGGGGGCAGAGAAGGGGAGGGAGATGGGCACCTCCCAAGGGCTTACACAACCTCTCTTTCATTCTCTGTTCTGTGTGTTTGTCTCCTTCTGCAGATCATCTGGGCCATCAATTCACTGCTGCTGTGCAAGACCTGGAGGCAACCATGGGCAGATTTGCTGCCCGGGGGTTCCCCAACTGGGTTGGTTCCTGGGAGGTTGGGGGGGGCAGAGAAGGGGAGGGAGATGGGCACCTCCCAAGGGCTTACACAACCTCTCTTTCATTCTCTGTTCTGTGTGTTTGTCTCCTTCTGCAGATCATCTGGGCCATCAATTCACTGCTGCTGTGCAAGACCTGGAGGCAACCATGGGCAGATTTGCTGCCCGGGGGTTCCCCAACTGTGAGGGAGCCATTAATGGGATGCACATCCCCATTCATGCCCCGGAACATCAAGTAGCCCAGTTCATTAACAGAAAGGGCTACTTCTTCGTAGTCCTGCAGGCCCTGGTGGACCACCAGAGCCACTTTACTGACATTTATGTGGGGTGGTTGCGCAGGGCACATGATGCCTGAGTGTTCTGTAATTCCAGTCTGTGCGCCAAGCTGGAGGCAGGCACCTTTTTCCCCCACCGAGACTTTGTGGTGGGTGCCAGTGTAAATAGCAGGGGATGCAGCATACCAACTCATGCACTGGCTAATGAAGCTCTACACTGGCCACCTCAATCCCAGCAAGGACCCGTTCAATGCCCACCTGAACCGAGCCCGGATGCAGGTGGAGTAGCGCCTTTGGGCATCTCAAGGGAAGGTTCCACTGCCTCCTCACCCACCTGGATGTTGGGGAGCACAATTGGTTGTAGAATGCTGTGTGTGCTCTACAATATACTGGAGCACAAGCGCAAGGCCTTCCTCCCAGTGTGGGTGGCAGAGGCTAGCTACCAGCAGTCCCGGACTGCTACCACCCACCAGGCCCATCCTGGTGCACATCCAGGAGGCCCTGACAGAGCAGTATTCTGAGGACCCACAGTAATTCTCCCCAGGGCCTCCCCAACAGGGGCTTCTGCCTCTCCGCTCTCTCTCCCTTCCTTCTCTCACCCAGAGGTGGATATAGGGCAGGGTGAACGGGGTGGCTGCCCCGGGCCCCACGCTTCAAAAAGCCCCGCGCATGCGCCGTGGCAAAGGGGGGGCCCCGTGGAATTACGCTGCCCGGGGCCCCGCAAAACTGTCATCTGCCCCTGCTCTCACCCCCTCCCATTGCCCCTTCCCTGGCCTCCCAATAAACACACTTGTTTGGTTGGAAAACAAAATGAGTATTTTTATTAAACATCAAGAGCAGGTGGGCAAGGGGAGGGGGATGTCGGAACTAGGAGGGGGGAGGCTCAGGATTGGGAGGGTTAGTGTGGCAGCCTTCTCTGCCACCTCGGGTGCAGGGATGTGTTCATGATTGGGGGTTCTGGGGACTTGAAAGTGTTGGGCAGGAGGGGCAGCCAGAGCTGGGTCAGGATTGGTGGGAGGAGGGGCCAGAGGCATCATTTGAGGAGGGGGCATGGGCGCAGGACTCATGTGGCCACGCATGAGGTTGGCAGCAGGTTCCTGGGCATATTGAGGTGCTGGCTGCGGTGGCCGCGTGCTGCACCCACCCATTGCACATGGTTGTACATGCCCAGACTGTAGCAGCATGTGCTGGCCTAGCAGCCCGCATGACACTGTGTCCCCTGCCTGGTCACCTTCAAGCTGCCTCGGAGGCCTGGGAGATGTCCAGGCTGGCAGGGACTGGCTCCAGGGACAGGGTGACGGTCCCACTGTCCTGGTCATCGTCCTCCTCCGTTGGGGGCTGGACCTGCCCCTCCATTTCCTCCGGGTCAGGGACAGGCTCCAGGTGCTGGACTACCAGCTGCTCCAGGCCGGAGTCCACCATGATAGAGGGGGAAAAGGGTTCCCCCTCCCCCCGCAAGGACGTGGTGGAACTCAGCATAGTAGGGCCAGGTTTGCCCCTGAGCGCCCCTGCCCCTGAGTGCCCCCTCTCCACTTCCTGGCTTTAATGTACCCTTGATAGAGCTCCTTCACCCTAGCCCAAACTCCATGGTTTGGGCAGGGTGACCTTGCTCTGCCAGGGATACGATCATATGGGAGAAGATCTCCGCATTGTGGTGTTTGGCCCAGGGGTCCTGCAGGGATTTCTTCTTGCCCCACAATTCCAGGAGGGTATATCTACACTACAGCTCTAATTCCAACTAACTTAGCATTTTGCTAATTCGAAATAGCATGTCCACACTGAGTGGACCCTGAACCGAAGTTAAGGCTGGCCGGAACCAGTGCCAGCAGGGCATCAGGTTAGGACTTAAGAGTGTGGAGCTGCTATCTCAGACTAGCCAAGAGCTGTGCTTAAAGGGACCCGACCCCCACCCCGGACAGACAGTTCTCAGGGTTCCCCGCTTGCTTGTCTACCTCGATGAGGGACAGGAAAGCAGTCCTGTCTTGGAGTGCCCTGAGTGCCCACACTCGGCACATCACAGCACTCGGCCATCAGCCCGGCTGCACTTGCCGCAGGCTGCCATCCGGGGGG